CATAAAGAAAAATATCAAAACATGGGAAGATTGTTTAGCACATGTTGAGTTTGCTTATAATAGGGTTGTTCATTCTGCTATTAAATTTTCACCTTTTGAAAATGTTTATGGTTTTAATCCTTTAACGCCATTTGATTTAACTCCATTACCTGTTTCTGAGCATTGTTAACTTGGATGGTAAGAAAAAATTCTGAGTTTGTAAAGCAGATACATGAGAAGGCACGAGTGAATATTGAAAAAAGAACAAAACAATATGAAAAACATGCCAACAAGGGGTGACACAAAATGATCTTCGAACCTGGAAATTGGATCTGATTACACTTGAGAAAGGAAAGATTTCCAGAACAAAGGCATTCCAAACTTCCAAGAGGAGATGGTCCTTTCCAAGTAGTTGAGCGTATCAACGACAATGCCTACAAGCTCGATCTACCAGGTAAGTAATGTGAGTGTCACTTTCAATGTTACTGATTTAAGTTCTTTTGATGCAGACACTGATTTGAGGACAAATCCTTTTCAAGAGGAGGGGAATGATGCAAATGATAGCATGGATGACAATGATACGATTTCAAGAGGAGATTTAATTCAAGTTCCATGTGGGCCAATTACTAGATGTCGTACAAAGAGGGTGAAAGAAGCTCTTAATGGATTAGTCCATGAGGCATGGACTCAAGCCAATTCATGGGGATCTAAGGAGAAAGAGACACAAAGATTTATCAACTTATTCCAAGCCTAATGATAAATGAGTCAAATTATTATGGCTGGATATTTTGTATTTTTATTGTGGTTTAATAATGGCTTGCATGCCAACTTGATGTAGTTTTCATTTGTTTTAGAAGATATTTTATCTTCTCTTTTATTTTCTTGTAAGCTTTAGCCTATATATAGGCCTTATGCTAAATGAGAAGGGGACTTTTGATGTTTGCCAAAAAAAAAAAAAACTTGCATTTAGGTTGTCCCCCACGATTTCCTTAAGATTCAAACGGAACTCTAGGCAATCGCCTAAGGAGTTTTTTCGCGACTTATCAAGCGGATTTTCACCCCGTTTGTTGCGTCTTCTATTGAACCAAGGTTCTTTCCTCACATCAAGCATAAGGTTGTGGTCTTATACCAACGTTCTTATTTGCGTTAAGCATTGGGTCAAGGTTTACCTCCATCCATCCATTTTACCACAAGTTCTACCTATAATTCGATTTGTTCCAGCCATGGGACGGTTTTATTGTTTGTTTTCTTACATCACATAATAATTTCCATCAATTCTTTTCGGTTTTGGCATGCACATCTGATTTTCTGATAAGAACATCAATCCCCATGATCCTGTCTTGCATATATGCACATCAATTTACTAGAAATAATTTTTTTTTATAGTTTCAATCAATAAGTTTGAAATTAAATTTTGTTACCGAAACCCAGAACTTCCAAATTCCCCCAGCCTTGCCCTGTTTCCGTGCCTAATCCTTCCTCTTATGTTCAGTTTAGGGCGCCCTTATTTTTTCTTTTCTTTCATGTATCTTCTTCTTCTATTACTTTTTCTTATACGGTTAAGTCTCAAGCTTATTCTTCTTTCTTTACTTCTCTCGCTCTCATTCATGTTCTCTCATGCTTTCTCTGTTTAACGAGAAAAAATTACATACGTAAGACATACGCAGTGTTGCGTACGTCAGGGAGGTTATTCAGAGGGTATTGAGAGGTTATATCTGCATTATACCCCATGTAACATCTATGTAACCTGCTTTGTATCCTACATATACCTTCTAGTAAGTTCGACACTTTTATTTTCATATATTTGTAGGTGACATGTAGGTTACAAGTAGGTCATAGGGAGGTTACAGAGAGTATAACACAAATAAAACCCCCAAATACTCTCCCTAATGTACGCAGCGATGCATACATCTTTCACACGCTGTGAAGGGATGAGGTAAATAATTCCTCGTTAAAATTTTTTACGGTAATCAGAATGTTGCTCGAATAACAAGTAATATTTTTTTTGTTTATTAATAATTAAGTTAATTAAAATTTTTAAAATATAATTATTACAAGCTTCATTTCTTATAAAAACTTGGCCCTTGAAAGTTAAGTACAAACATATTGCCCGTATCTCAATTAAAAAGCTGCGGGTATTACTTTACCTAAGATAATATAATTGAATTTTTAAGAATTCCAACTACATTAAAAAAGAAATAGATAGCAAATTCAAAATATATTTGAAATTTTATATGCATTATTTTTTTCTTCCAACTAGCTAATTTAATATTTAAAACTCCAGCCAAAAAAAAAAAAAAAAATACCATGCACTTATTTTAATTTACATTACACCAAAAACAGAGAAACAAACAACCACTTATTCCTGGAAAATATTTGCGTACATAAGATGTACGCAGCTCTGCGTACATCAGGGGTTATTCAGGGGGTACAATGAAATTATATCTGGGTTATACCTCCTTGTAACCTCCGGTATAACCCGGATATAACTCCCCTATACCCCCAGAATAACCTCTGATGTACGCAACGCTGCGTACATCTTATGTACGCAAATATTTCTCCTTATTCCTTTCTTTTTTTCTTTCAAACTTTAATATTTCTTTCCTATTTATTGAATCCCTTCGTCAATGTAATATTTTTAATTAGATCTTACGAATGAGATTAATCTTATATAAGATTAGTGGATGTTTGAGTCTGTTTATGGCAGTTGTAGCTTATTGAATAATCTACTGATAAACTGATTAAAAATAATCTGCAGATAAACTATGTGCGATACCTATTACAAATTTTTATTTTTTTTTTGGAAAAACCAAACCGAAGTCCTATTACAAATTTTTATTTTTTTTTGGAAAAACCAAACCGAAGCAAAAGCTCCAACCAAACCTAGCTAGGTGCGGTAAAAAAAAACATTTTTCAACATTTTGAAAACGCATAAACTATCAAAACACAATTCACCCAAACAAATCAAGTTTTAAATACACAGAACCACCAAATAAGCTGCCCCAAACGGCTCTAAAAAAATTTTAATAATTACAAATTAACAATTGCACATGTAAATGATTAAAATTATAGATACACCATCAGGATGACATATGAAAGTGTGAATTAATGTTGTATAATAATATAATCATTTTAAATGCCAAAATCAAACATCCAAAAATATGATAAATCATAGGAGCAAATAAACCAGATACATTAATATTAAGCAAAAAAAAATTGAAGTTAAAAAAACATACTGAATTAAAAAAGCCTGACTTTTGATCAAATTAGACGAACACTAGCCATTTGAATTTGATTTAAGCTTATAAAATCCTAAATTTTTGAGCGGTTGGATGACTAAAAAATGTTGAATAAGTTTACTTAGACTTGGTGACTATAAACATTGAGAATCCGGCGTAAACATTCTCTTTAAGAGTCTATATGAGTAGATGGACCGCAACCATACAACACTTGAATTTTAAGAAATTAATTATCTGAAATGAAGAATTAGAAATCCAACATAAAATATGAATGAAATCAAAATTTACAGTTGTTTTTTTTGCTAAATTTAAAATTCATATAATTTAATCAAAAGAATCGCGCATGCCGCCATTGTGGCCTGTCCACCATCCGCTTGCCTCCCCTCACCTCTGCCAGCCGCACACCATGTGTTGCTGCCGCCACCCGCCTTTTGTCCGATTGCCAACCCCTTCAGTCGCACACCACCGTCGATTGCCGGCCTCTTGCCAATTACCAACCTCCCGATGCCACCGCCGAATATCACCAACCACTCAACAATAATATATATTTTAAATTTACTTCAAACTAAACAATTCATTTGAGCTTTATTTGTCAAAATCAGGCCAGGCAACTCATAAAGAAATTACTCGATTAAAAATCAATCATCCATCTATTCACTGCTAATGATATTGCAACCATCATTTGACCCAATTTGAGTCACTAACACAAAGAACTACCTACATTTTATTAAACCATAAATTAGAATTTTAATTACTCAAAAAATTTGTGCAAACATTATATTAAATTCCATGTTTTCAAACTATTATTTATATTTAACCATTGATATTGCCAACAAAACACTTAAATAGCATTTTTTTTCATTTAATATAATTTATGTTTTAACCAAGCTACTAACATAAATGAAACATATTGTTATTGGGCAGAAGGCTGGATCAAGCCAACCAATCCCCAGTTATATCATATTATTCTACCATTTAGCATTAAAATGAGGATTAATTGATCAATCTGTTTCGGGATTAAAACTCACCGTTATGTAAAACCACCATCAAAGTTATCAAATTACAAATTGGGTTAAAAAGGGAAGAGAATTCCCTACAAAAACATACAGGAATAGTCTCCCAAGTGCCTAAATGGGTAGAAAAAAAATAGCTGAGAATGACAAACAATAAATCACAATCCATAATCTTAAGAACAAGAATTAAAACCTAAGTGTAATGTTATTTAGGAAATAAAACAGATCTTGGATGAGATGTATCAATATCCACAATCTTAATAATAAGAGTAAAAACCTTAGGTGCAATGTTATTAGAGAAAAAAAAAACAGATGATGGATGAGACGTATTAATATGGATCACGTTCTGACAAAGCAATACATCATTTGACCCAATTTGAGTCACTAACACAAAGATCTACCTACATTTTATTAAACCATCAAAAACCGTAAAATAAAACTATAGCCAGGCAAAGGCAAAAAGAATAAATTCAGTAAAAACTTCATTAAAAACCACAACAAATCGATCCTCTAAAAGAGAACTTCAAAATCAGCTAGAAATAACAACCTTACGGATTTATAGGTGGAAAAAAACCTGAAAGTCTTAAAAAATTTTAATGGCCGCATTTGGTCTAGGTCTCTGAAGTGAGCTTCTATGTCTTGATTGACGAAACCAAAAAACATTAACTAAAATGAGTTGGAGCCCCAGGAGCATGTCATAATCTTAATGCAGAACTATCCATAAGGTTTGCCTACAATTAAAACTAAGCCTAGATGCTACATTTGTCAATTTTAGTTTAATCAATAATAATATGCTCCGCAATATGTATAGAGAAAAAGCAACAGGAATACCTATAAAAGCAAACACATATATGTCAACATCTTAGAGTAACTCTAAATAAGTCTACAAATAATACCCAGCTCTAGGAACAACACGAAAGAAAATGTCGCTACAGATAACTAGCCAATACAGATGATACTCTTTCAGAATGATGCAGACCGCCAAGCAAACAAGCCTATAGTGACTTCACGAAATACTTCTAGTAGATCATTAACGCTAGCAGATATCTAGCAAATTTCTGACCCTTCTGATCTAAAGAGTAAAGACTGTTGCCTGAAATATCTGCTGAACTAAAAACAGGTGCCTGCAAATAACTGCTGAACTAAATAGAGCTGGTGCCTGAGAATACCTTCAGAACTAAATAAGACTGGTGCCTGAGAAACAAACACCTAGAGCAGAATGAGCAGCAACCTAACGAGCATATGGGTGGTACCGACCGGTTGGTCCAGCACCGGCACCATAGCTTCCCCTACCTCCATACAATCCACCGCCACCTGAGCCATAACCAGCACCTGGACCAGAATCATAACCTCCTCCATAACTGGATCCTCCATAACTTCCAAAACCCTCATCACGACCATACCCCCCACCACCAAAGCCACCAGCACCATATCCCCCGCCAAAGCCTCCTCCACCATATGAGCTGAGGCGACTAGAGTAACCAAGTGACGACTCACCTCTATAACCACCTAGGCCACCACCACCAAAACTTCCATATCCACCACCACCAAATTCATCAGCGCCACCACCATAACCACCAAGCCTAGGACCCAAACCTCCAGCTCCTCTATAGGAGGAAGGACCAAACCCTCCTCCACCAAACCCACCACCAAAAGAGCCTCCACCATATCCACCAAGTCCATCACCATAGGAACGATCCCTAAATTCACTACCATAATGAGAAGATGGTGCACTAGAGGGTTTCTTTGGTTCAGCCTTCTTGATCTCCACCTACAATGAAGTAGGAATAATAAGCTATGCCCTTTAACTACTGCTCTATACAGTGAAATCTTAAAAATATCTTATGCCTGCAATATAAAAGGTCAGACTAAAAGAAAGCAAACAAATGCAGACACCTAAAACATACAAGTTCGACAATAAAGTGAAGAAGTTGGGGTACGGATTATGAATGCCATTCAGAAGGTGCAATGAAAATAGCAAAAATAATGGATAAACATTTTATGGTAAAATCATTAAAAGGCCCGACAATACCGTATAACTTAAGCTCAAAGATCAGTATGATACCCAAATTCCTGATTACACGCATTACAAAACTCACCTGACTACCAGCTAGTTCTATCATATTGCCATTAGACAATAATTCATCAACTACTTTCTCAGAATCAAAGATTATGAAACCAAAGCCTCGAGATCTCTTGGTGATATGATCACTAATGATTTCATGCTCCACAACCTTTCCATATTTGGAGAAGAAACTCTTGAATTCCTCTAACAAATAAAATAAGTGAGAATTAATTCTCCATTATAGCGATGGTACCCATCCATACTCATAAAGAACGACGTAAATGCATTCAAATAAAAAATAGATAAATACCCGATGTCACAGTTGATGGTATGCCTCCAACAAATATCTTCTTTGTTTTGAAATCCTTAGACTGAGCGGAGCCTTTGGGAATGGTTCTTTTAATCTCAACCTTCAAAATCACATAACAAGTGCAATAAGTAATGTCAAACATCAATCGACCATTAAAAATAATAAGCATTTGAAAGAAAAATATACACACTTCAACTGCAGCAAGGGTTATAAAAGGACCACATTATTGTAGACAAAACTGTAAATGGTTTTGAAATTTCTAAACCAGAAATATTAAATACTCAACTAGTGAAAATACAAAGTATGCATACAAAGTATTAAAAAATGTAAAATATATAACAAATAGAGATATACATCAAAAGCAAACATCACAGCCCTTTCTCACATCTGATTAAAATCTACCTAAAGTCCCAACAAGCTGAAATAAAGCTGAAAAATAATCAGTTACACACACCAACTTGGCTTCAGAAAGGTAAAAAGCACTAAAAGAAGCTCAACTGAGTTACAAATCATCATTCTTGTAACAAACCATTGGAACTTATTTTAATATAAAAATAAGAGAACCAAATTAAAAAAAAATTGAATGATAATAGATTACAATGAATCTCGCTGTTGCCCATGGATACGTGATCTTAAAAAAAGAGTCCTAAATTGCCACAGTAATAGAAAAACATACAGTAATTGGATAGCTTGCTCCCCATTAACAAGGACAAGAAAAGCAATTAAAACATTTGCATTAAAAATTCAATAAAGAAATGTCTATTGCCGACAAAAAAGATTATAGAGTATAACGTGAACACCTAGAAACAAGAATGCAATATCAGGTAAAACATGGGGCAAATAGTCAGAAACTTCTCAAAAACAAATACCTGTTTCCCATTTATCACATGATTGTCCTCTATGACTTTATCAACAACAGAAGGATCAGAATATGTGATGAACCCAAATCCCCTAGGCTGTTGGGTGAACCGATCCTTCATAATTACAGAGTCTATTATCTCGCCATATTTTCCAAAATGCTTCAGGAATGTGGCTATTGAACCAAAACAAGTGAAATTAGAAAACACAAAATAAATAAAAAAATTAAACAAAAAGAATAACATGAACAAAACCACCCTTGGCCATAATCTATCATGTCAACTATATTATAGCTATTTAAAAAAAAAAAACAGCACGCTGGCAAAATGGAACAAAATTATAGCGATTATCTTAGCAAAAATTAAAGAAAGAAAAGATAAATTGTCATTTAAGAAGAATAAAAGAACCAAATAGATAAGCAATTAATAGCCAAATTTCTGATCCATTATCAAGAAAGAAACATCACAAAAAAGATTTTGCCACTCCAAATCAATTAGCATGCACCACTTTAATAATGAATGCACCACTACAGATTCAGAAAAGTACAGTGTTGTTACCAAGGACAGATTCATTTCTGAGTCTGCATCCCGATTAGAAATAATGTTATGATTCCTTACAAGGGGATTCCTAAAGTTCTCAGGATATCGTGTATTTCTAGATGCATTTACTATTAGCAGGGGCACTTCTCTAATGAAAATATATCTATGATATCAATTATATATAAAATTAAAATCGGCATGAAATGCAACAGTTGTCCTAAGCAGGGCCAACAAAACCATAACAATAAAAAAAAAGCCTTCTATAAGAATGAAAATATATCTATGATATCAATTATATATAAATTAAAATCGGCATGAAATGTAACAGTTGTCCTAAGCAGGGCCAACGAAACCCTAACAATAAAAAAAAAGCCTTCTATAAATTGTCTAGAAATGGTTCATATGGTTCTCAATGCCCTTAAAACTAATTTCATTAGCACATTTTGACCTCCTTGTGAAGAAGAGACTTATATCTGCTGGGCAATAGTAGGGCACTTCCAAACACAGAATCCTACTTATTTTCCCGATCAATCATAATATCCCTTGGTTTAGATTTGTATCATTCCAGGAAAAAAAAAATCTTCATTGAGCCCATATATATGCTCAAGAGAACAATTCAAAATAACAACCAATAACTACTCGATCATTAAATGCTCTCCAAAAGCATTAGTATCAACTTATTTTTTATTTTTATAATTAAAATGTCTCAACTAATTTACATTGTACTTTTGTACTTATTTTGCCTCCAAATGTGAAATAACCAATAATTCCATAACCTATTAAGAAAAGAGTAGGGTAAAAAACCAACAAAGGAATAACAAACAAAGGAATGACATGAGCATAACCGCACTTGGTCATAAGATATCGCATCAATTATAATAAAAAAGGCAGCACACTAATGTTAGAAAATATTAGTATATTAGAAAAAATTAAATACAGGAATGTTAAATTGTCATTTAAGAAAAATAAATGGACCATTTAGTTTAGTCAATAGTTACACTTTTGATCCATTATCAAGAAAGATACCACATAAAAGATTTTGCCTCTCCAAATCAATTAACATGCATGGAATTGATAATAAATGCACCCCAATAGATTCCGGAAAGTTGAGTTGTTACCAAGTAAAAGATTTTGCCTCTCCAAATCAATTAACATGCACGGAATTGATAATAAATGCACCACAATAGATTCCGAAAAGTTGAGTTGTTACCAAGGACAGATTTACTTGAGAGTCTTCATACAGATTAGGAATGATGTTATGGTTCATTACAAGAAAATTCCTAAAGTTCACAAGACTAGATGCTTTTACTTTTAGCAGGGGAACTTTTCTAATTAAAATATATGTACGATATCAATTATATAGCAATTAAAATCAGCAAGATATGCAACAGTTGTCCTAACCAGGGCCAATGAAACCCTAATAATAATAAAAAACTTCCTTCTTTAAGTTCTCTGGAAATGGCTCATAGGGTTCTCAATGGCCTTAAAAACAAATTTTTTTTAGTACACATTGGCCTCCTTGTGGAAACGAGAGTTATATCTGCTTGGAAAATAGTAGGGCAAACTTCTAAACAAAGGATCCTACTCATTCCAAGATCAATCATACATTACTTTGCTTTCTCTTGAAATTATGCAACTTATTGTTCCCATTATAAGATATTTTTACAACAGAATCCCAAAGATGACAAACACATGTTTCTACCAATTCATGATTCTAATATTTCGATCATAAAAATTCATCTTTCATTGGCCTGTGTCAAAACATCAATAATTTTCTTGAATAAATTACAAGTAGATTGTTAATATACAATATATAAAAAGTCATCAGAATACCAGGGGCGAATCCTAATTTTTAATAATGGACTTTAATAGTTTTATCATACTTCCTGGATTAGAGTTTTATCATTCCAAAAAAAAAAAAAATCTTCATTGAGCCTATAAATTATGCTCAAGATCATTTTAAAATGACAAGCAATAACTGTTTGATCATAAAAAGCTCTTCAAAAAGCATTTGTATCTACTTATTTTTTTGTTCTTATAATTAAACTATTTCACCTAATTTACATCATAGTTTTTTACTTATTTTGCCACCAGATGTGAAATACCCAATAGCTCTAAAAATCTATTTAATTTTATAAAGACATGCCTTTCTTTCAAAGAAAATCATAACTATTTATTATCTTACAAAATATTACGTAGATGACAATTTAAATCACATCTTTAACTTCAATATCTCAGATACACTAGAGCTATAATAGTGTTGAAGAATCATTGTAGTGGTTCCTCATGAAGAAAGCAAAAGAGTCACATCAACTATAAAATTCATTCATTTGCACCTTTGCTATATCTTTGTCCCGTTTACATTCAATGGGATAACCCAACAAATTTGTCCTTATAATGGTTTGTGCCTGTGCACATGTAAATAAATCTGCAATGATAGCCTCGTCCATTAAAAAACTAATTAAATGATAGAGTTGAGCAAAAGCTTCATTGCATAAAATAATAATAAACATAAAAAACATTTCAATTTAATTATTAATTATTGAATTAGTAAACTAATTTAAGACAAACTTCCATATGGTCATCAAACCACAAATAGTAGGAAGTTTTTAGTTAATATTTTTATTGATTAATATTAACTATTAAGATTAATCTAATTTTAAAAAACAAATTTTCCTAAATTAATTGAACAATTATTTAAATTTAATGTAATAGAAATTAAACATAAAAATTAAGTAAGATTTATTAAAATTATCTATTAATATGGAACCCACCAATGTAATCCTCTAGTACCCAAATTCCTGAAGCATTTGATAAGAAGCTAATGAGGAAGCCACGATGGAAGCTTAACTAATTCAACACAATAATTTCTATACGAAAGTCGAACCACAAGTAATACAATTATTAGTTCATATATTTAGGGATTACTACTAATTATTAATACTAATTTGATTTTCTTAAAAAAGCAAATTTGTCTAACTTATTTGATTAATTATTGATATTTCCTAAGGGTTGTGAGCTTTGAAGCACGAGAACTTTCTGTGCAATGCATTCAACTATCATATTTAGCACAACCTGGTTGTATTAAATAATGTAATAGGCAAATAGTCCGAACTGCTTAAACCTATAACTTTCTTGCTACACATGAATTTCATAAGATGACCTTTGGGTGCAGTAGGCGCAACTATCATATTTAGCACAACCTGGTCTTATAAAAAGAATGGAACAGGCAAATAGTACAAACTGCTTAAATCTAGAACTTTTTTAACAAAAAGAGAATCTCATAAGATAAAACAACTACAAAGCATCTCCTCGCATATAATCAGGAAGCGTGCAAGAAAATTTCAATAGAGATCCATCTAATTATATCAAATAATGCTTCCTTAAATGTGAACATCTTACACGTATAATCAATTATAAATAATATCATTAAAAATTCAACTTTTTAAGGGATTAAACGATGGCATATATTTAAATGATGGAGTAGTATAGTAAGGCGAATTAATCTACCAAAACAAAAGATCCCCTTGATTGTGTGATCTTTAGATCACAACACCATAAATTCTTAATAGTTAAATTAAACAGATCATTATGAAATAAATAATTCTACATTATTATGCCAAAACCATCTATAACGCCAGTATTCCACCCTATGACAACGACTATTAAATTCTTCTAGGGCGTCACATCTTCAAAAACTAAAATCCTTCAATTAACAGATAAAACTAACCCATGCTGGTGTCCTTGGGAAGCCCACCGATGAAGATCTTCCTGCAGGCCGAAAAAAATGTTTGAAGACGAAAAAGTATCAGGATAAAAGAACCGACCATATGATAGGAGAAGAAAACTCACCCGGGACTGGCACCATCATGCTCCGAGTTCTTGGGATCATCCTTCCTGGAGGCCATCGGATCTTCTTTACAAGAAACCTAGGGTTACGCTTTCGAGAGGCGCACAAAATATGCTAGGGTTTCCATCGATACTCCACAAAAGGGTATTTATAGAGAGGCTTCCGTCGGTCTTTCTAAGGCCGTAAATAGTTAGCGATCTGGAAGGTTCCTCGATCCTCCGTCACCTTGCTGGCCTGTACCTTTAATCTGGACCGTTGATCGGCGCCAACGCCCGATTTTCATGGGGAATCCCTTGAATTTCTATTATTAAAAATAATTGGTTTATTTTGACCACAAAAAAAAAAAAACAGTTGTGAAAATTATGTGGAATTTAAAGACTGAGAGGATTAAAATTTAATAATTAAATCAAAATTGAATTAGAAGTTTAAACCAACAATATAATAAATATAAAATTATTTTAATATATTTTAACTGATAGAATATTTTTTTTATAATTTTTTATTAATAAATAATATTTTAATTTACGATATTTCACTTTTAAATATTTTAAATAATATTTAAAAGCAAAATTTTGAGAAGTGGCAATTTTTTTTATTCTTAATTGAAAATTTTTTATTTTTTTTTCAACTAGTCAAAATAAAAAGATATTTAGAAATTAGATTCTCCTAATTCGTAGGTTTAAGCTTGAATTAAACTAGTCAAATGATCGGTCCAGAGTTAAATTGGTCGAACCAATCAATTAATTTTTAAAATCATGGTTAAATTAGCCACTGTATAACTATTACATTATAAATTTATTTTTTTGTTGAATTAGAAAAATAAATTAATTGGAAAAATAACTTCAAAAGGCTTTGAAATTTAAATAAAGAAGTAAGCCCCCTCAAATATGGACTTTAATTGTGAAAATATCATACTAATATAAAACTATTAAAAATTAATATGAACAATATGAACTTTTTCCTTCAAAAGTTAAATAAAATTTTTTATACAACTATTAATACCATAACTATTAAGTGTTTGTTTGGAAATGCTTGAAATATTTATAAAAAGTCGAGATTTTGAAAATTGGATCAGACATTAAGCCAGTAGAAGGGGAGGTTCAATGTTCAAATGTTTAAGCGAGGGTTCAATTGAATGATATAATAAATCACAAATTCATTTAAATATGACATAAATGATGCAATGATAATATAGCATGTGCATTTTAAAAATTTATTAGGAAATATAAGATAAACACCTTAATATTTAAAATGACTAATATTTTAATGTAACATTCTTGGTTCCTTAAACTATTTAGAAATGATGATAAGAACAAATTAGTACCACCCATATATACTATGTGAGTCATGATTAATTGCACAAATATATTACTTATTATAAAAGATAAAATTCAATAGAAAAAAGTAAAAATTTAAGAAATCATAATTAAACATATATGATGCAACATTTACTGTTGATTTTGATACTCAAAAGTCAAAAGTTATTTTTTTAAAAAAATATAAAATAGATCAACTAAAAAATAAGTACAAATGAAATATTTTAAAATCAAGCAAAATTAAATTTCATCCTTAAATGTTGCATCTCTGAATGCTCCATCGTCATAAGGTGTTTGTTTAAAATTTATTTCCTTAAATGCTTCTCAATCATCACATTCAAATATTTTGTTTATAATATCAACACATTTATTCGCATTTGTACATATAATTAAACCTAATTAGGTCATTGACTTATTAATGTATATCAATCCAAATACATCAAAATTTTAAAACCTAATCCAAATGAAGCCCAATCAAGCTATAATCATGTTCTTCGGTTCTTTGCTTAGTCAACAAAACCAACAGCAAGACTTTATCCCATTGAGGTACTGAGGTCAGCTACATGAATACTTTTTCTTCATTGCGCTCTATTTAGTGTCATGTTTTCATTTAATTCTAGTAAAATAAGATCATTTTTACACAACAAGCCCTAATCCTTTTAAGTCTACCTTTACCTTTCATAACATAAGTCAAATTTAAAATATCTACTCTCCTAATTGGATCATCAAATGGTTGACATTTAATGTGATCAAATTATCTAAGAAAAATCTCTCTAATCTTGCAGCCACATGTGTTATACCAACCCTTTTACAAACATATTTGTTTCACAATTTTGTCTTTAAGTGTATAGCCACTCATCCACCTAAGTATTCTCATCTTAACAACACATCTTAGTTTTATACTTTTTTTAATAGGCCAACATTATGCACCATATAGGATTATAGGTCTCACCACCATCTAATAATATTTTCCTTTAATTTCAAGTGATACCTTTTTATCAGACAATAAGCCCATTACATTCCTCCACTTCAACCATCCAACTTGAATTCTACAATTCTACTAATAACATCGTAACATCGTCATCTATATCACCATTACTTTGAACAATAGACCCAATATATCTAAAATGTTCACTCCTTTTGATGACTTGAACAATGATGTTCAAAATTATTATGAAGCAACCAATCAATCATGCAAGTATACATATCAACTAAGTAATGTATAGATAAAAAGTTTGTGCATCGATCCCACGAGAATAGTTATCAAAATATTCCAATAAGTGAAGTTCTAATTTATTAAACTTCTGAAAAATAGTTCAAAGTTTCAAATGTGCAAATGTTAGAAGTTCTAATATCCTAAAAGACAAAAAACAAAAAAAAACAAAATTTTGTCAAATATTTTTCAAAGATGAAAAGTTCCTACTATTATGATATCGAACTAGTAATTTCTTGTTATTTTTCCTATGAAATCTCATGTTATTGTTGACAATGATGGATAAGTCCTCCTTAGCCTATGTCTAGATCATAAGAAAAGTAAGAAGCAATATTACTGTGAAGGAGGGCTTAACAATGCAACGTTTCTTGGGAATCCATTTCTCTTATATAAGTTGCAATTTTCTAAGCTATTGTGTGTAATCCTATTTTTTCTTCTAGGTGATACTAAAAATTTATAGATCACAAGATAATTTTATATTCTTTTGAATCAGATTAGAAGTAAATTAAGATAAAAAAAGTTAACAAATCGACATATGAAATCCAAATACAGAAAATATATACAGGGAACGAAATTCATATGATAAAATAATAAGAAAACCATATACGTTACATCATAAGAATATGAAAATAAGATTAACTACGATGCATGAGAGAAAAGCACAAAAACTACCACTGATAGCATAAAAAAACAATGCAAGAGATACATGCCTAAGTCAATTAGTCCTTATAATATATTGTGATCCTTTTCATTCAATATAAGCTTTCTATAGATCTCCATCATACAACCACGGATTGTGTCATCTAAGAGATCTTCGTAGATTTGAGTATATGGGGTTCAAGTTGCGTTTGGTGATCTTTGCTCATTAGAGTTTCATTTTAAGTTTTAATGTCTTTTTCAAATTTTAGGGTTAGGCTGTTTAAGACTTATTGATTGATTTTTTTTGTTTTATCATTTTATTTTTGTTGTTTGAGATTACCCGGTCAAGATCCCATGGTTTGTCTTCCCATGGTCATTAAAGTTTGGGGTTTGCAGTTTGATTAGTCACAAGTGATTAAAAGATATGTTGCTACCAACCATGGGTTACCTCATTCAAAATATATTCTCAAATAAAGTTGCATTTTTTTTGTTCAAGTTTAAGTTTTAATACTTTTAGAGTGGATTTTATTTCATTTCATTTAGGTTGGTTGGTACTTTAGCCCAAATTATTTCGTTTAAGTTTTAATGATCTTTTAGAGTGGATTTTATTTCATTTCATTTAGGTTGGTTGGTACTTTAGCCCAAATTATTTCTGACTGAGGCTAAATATGTTTTTGTTCTCATATGAGAAGTCAAACCCTTCCTAACCTTCAGTCACTTAAATCTAGGTTGATTTTATATTAGTTCAAGTTGGGTTGAACTAACATAAACATGTGTCTTTAGGTAATCCGAGTTAACCTGAATTAGGTTAGTTGTCCCCCAGATTATTTTCAAACTTATTTAAATCAGCCTAAGTTAAATAGGATTGAGGACTTAGATTGATTAGGGTCAAACTAGCCTTACTTGGCTTAAATTAACTTAAGGTAAGCCAAGTTAAACCAAGTTGGATTAACTTGGGAGCAGACCAGGTCGAGCTAGACTGATCCAAGTTATATCCTTTGGGTTGAATCAAGTTTAATTTAAATTAGACTTTGGTGAAATCAAAGTTAATTTAGACTTTAGTTGTCTATTTAAGTCTAAGGGTCTGTTTGGGGCAGTTGCACCTTCTTAGTTTTTCAGCTGCACCTTAGCTGCCCTAGAAAGCTACTGCAGGGAAGCTGTTGCGGGAAAGCTGGCTGGTTGTTTGTTGCAGCTGTCTGAAAACAACCGTGGACCAGTTATTTTTGGACAAATGAGCATCATGCCCCTGTGCATTAATGTTGTTTGTAATATAAAATAAAATAAATTTTTTTATTAAACAAATTATTTCTTAAGCAATAAATTAGCGTTAATTAATAATTAATTAGTTTTATTAATCAAGAAAACGTATACTTTTATCAAATAATTCAGAACTTAAAAATATGTATAAATAAATAAATTAATCATTATATAATAATATATAAATTTATGCAAATATATAAATTTCTGTAATTATGATTAATTTGAAAATATATGAATTAATCATTAATTATTAATCAATTAAATTAATAAAAAAATATTATTATGTTAACTTTTAAAAAGCGAAATACATACATACATACATATACATGCATATATATTGAAGTTAAAATTGTTAAATATATGCATGTACATATTTTTGTGACAGCTCATTTGAATGCTGTGTGCAAATTTGTTCAGTTGTGTTCTATTTTAAGTCTAGGATTTGGTAAACTTTAGTTTTTCAAAATTTCTTCACTGCCTTGCTTGAAATTTTGGATTTACAGCATTTACTAAATCCATTACCAAATAAAAGAGATGTTTTTGAGAGGACTGCAATCTACAACCTATGTTTTGAATCAGAGTAGCATTTTGCCTACATACGACCCAAATCCTATATATTTACATCTCTAGCACCTAGAATTTATTTTGTGCATTTATACCACCAAAATCTTTCATAATATATAAAATATACCACCAGTTTAACTTCTAAAAAATGAAATAC